AAAAAAAAAAAAAAAAAAAAGCCCATGTACTATAAATTAAAAAACAAACCATGTAAAATTTTCCAGTTGAATAAATTAGAGGTTTAATTAATTTTATTATGAACAGTTATGAAATATCTAAGTCTATTAATTCATATTTGTGCTCTAGGGATAATTTTTTGAGTCTTTAAGCCCTTTACAATTTTTTCATACAGACATCTCAACTGTGCTGTTATGACAACTACAGATAAATATCTAATGAGTACCTACTATACGCAGAATACTATAAGTGACTCAGAATATAAAAACATTTTCCCTGCCCTTAAAGGTTTATATTCTAACTGAAAAGACAGGACATATACAAAAATAAAGAGTTAAAAAAAGTATCATTAAGCTTCAAATGAATGGCATAGACTATTAAGTCCCAAGGGAGTATAAAGTAACGTAGAATTACAAAGGGATTTTGTAGGCAGGACAATCTTTGAGGAACCTGAGGCACACAGTAGTTAAGTAAACTGCCCAAGGTCACAACTGATAAATATTAGATAGAGCTGGGTTCAAACTCCTGGCTCTGGAGCCAGATTCTATGCTTGATAAATTCTCTACTTTGTAATGTGAAGAATGCTGGAAATGTTGAAAGATACTAAATTATAAAGAACTCTGATCATCAAGCTAAGAAAACTCATAAAAGTAAAAAATCATGGTTACTATACATGACATATATACATTTGAAGATTAATATACGTAAAGCTTTCATGTTTATAAAATTACATTTGGATAGCCCAGTATTATATTCATTAAAATGACCAAAAAGTGTGTTAAAATGGATAAGGAAATACCGTATATGCTAACTATGAAATAAAAACAGTGTTTCCATATTTGTACATACCTTTTAGATCTTTAGATTTTAGTGCAGTCACGTGAGTGAGCTAGAAAACACATACACAAAATGCAATCATTAAAAAAAGCCTTACTTTATGAAGATATGCAGTATCTGTAGAACTATAACTTGAAGAGCTAGTAAGTTAGAGACAACTATAAAGTATAGAATTTTAAGTTTAATAAGAATAAGCACTAACCACTGTATATATTTTATATGTTCACACATACACGTAAGATCATAATCAAATACCCACTTAGGGAAGAATATAAAATCATTAAGTTAGGAAATTGCTTATACTCAATCAGCCATTTATTTAGGTGTCTAATGGGAACAGAAAGGTGATCATACAAAGTCACATGGTATAACAAAATATACAAAGATCTCAGTAATATAAGTATAAAACCAACAATAGCACAAAAGGTCAATTGTAAAATAGTGAGTTACATAAAGAAGGGCTAAAGTAGACCAGAGGCAACCTAAGATTATGGATGAGAAGAGCTGGCCCCTATGGCCTCCAAAGACTAATAGCCTAGCCCCTTCATGTATGCAAAAACCAATGGGGTCCAGGAATGCACGCTGAATATATCACCTCCATGTGCAAAGAGAATATGACCACATAAAGACAGGTACAAATAGTCTTAAAACTAAAAGATAATTTACATTTTATGCTATTATTACTACCTTTAACAACTGGAGTTGGTCAAATGTTAACTCCTTTACTGGAATTTCAAATAATTCAACTGGATCAGCTTCAAATTTCTAAATAGGAAACATAGAGAAAAACAGGCCCCTTATTATTACTGAATGATTACTCTAGACAGGCCTAAAACTATAATTTACTGAATGATGAGAACAATTACTTGATGACCAGTGAGCCCACGTAGAGGAGCCCTTCTTATCTACCACCACCCCCCAGCTCCTAAATTCTGGCTTTTGTTTTTAATGTTAAGTGGTAGTGCCTGGAAGAAAAAAAACACTGGAAGCAAGCTATGGCATTGAAAACACTGAAAACAAGCCAGAGGTTCAGTGATTTCCTTTATTTCCTGCCATCCTGTGTATATTTTATTCGCCATACCTATGCCACATGACTAGGAAATCAGCATGCAAGCATTGTGTAAGAATTAATTCCTGTCAATAAGTTTCTAGCCTTTTCTAAATCTTTTAAACTTAAGTTTGGTTAAAAATAGCCACAGAAATCAATTGTTATTAAAAAATGTCTGATTATCTATAAGTACTAATACTTAATAGGAACTCTAATCTATTATAAACACTTTCCCCTTGAGCAAATCTGTTTTTAAAATTTTAATACCATATCAAATGTCACATTGTTTAGGCACCTCTATCTTAATGAATTAATGTACCACCAATAAATCATCAATCCAACAAATACATGGCTGGGCAAATAGGTTTACAGTTATAATACAAATAAATAATAATACAAGAATAAACTCTGTTTTGCATACTCACAACTGTAAACCGATTTTTGCACACCCCAGTATACAAAACTCTGACTTTTATACTCATTCATGTATATATGTATGAGTATGTATATGTATAAAGCTTTTTTGGGAGAATACATAAGAAACTATTAAGAGTAAGGGAGTACGGCTAAGCAGAAAGGAAAACTTATATTCATGTTATAATCTTATGAACCATTGGTTTTATTGGAAAATACCAGCTTAAAAATTAAAACTAAAAATATACACAGCCCGGCCGGGCATGGCTCAGAGGTTGAGCATCGACCCAGGATCCAGGAGATCGGGGTTCGATTCCCCTGTCAGGGCACAGGCCCGGGTTGCGGGCTAGGCAGCCAATCAATGACTCTCTTATCATTGATGTTTCCATTTCTCTCTCTCTCTCCCCCTCCTTTCCTCTCTCTGAAATCAATAAAGATATGTTTAAAAAATAATAATAATAAAAATAGAAATATATACAATTCATTATTTTCATTCCCCAGTTAAGTTATCCAAATTCAACTTAAGAGCAAAATAAAGAAAATATACTTTTTTAAAAGAAAAAAACAGGGGGGAAAAAGAAGGAAAAAGAGAAACAAAGTCTGGTGATAAGGGGAAATCAATACTACGCTTCAACTAATGCTAACAGATTTTTAGAAATTCGAACTAGATTCATTAATCTCCATCTTGGTTAGTAAGGTCCTTTACCAGTCCCTCCATTCCTTCTCATTTTACTTTGTGTTGGTTTCCCCACAGCCAAAACAACCTGCTCCATTTCTGTTAAGTTATTCTACTTCTGTCATCTGACAGGTGCACCTCCTTCCCTCCCTCCCCTAACAACACTTCACAGAAATGAAGGGTGCATTTCTATACATCACAGTAATGCAAACCCAAATGACTGATTAGAACCTGCTAGCAGGCAGAGCCAGGAGCCTTCTCTTCTACTTCTACAACATGCAGTGTCTGGTGCAGTGTTACACCTTAGCAAAATAGCCTTAACTTCAAACCAACTCGGTGGAAAATAACACCTAATAAAGTTTGAAAGAAAATGCCAAATAAACCCTAGTAGTGTAAGTCCCTGAGAAATCACTTGGCAAATTTGTATACTGAAGTTTAGGCACTATATAATTATCACAATTATGTTTGTATAGCAATTACAATTTTTAAGAAATTATATGCATTTTCTTTTTGTTTAAAAATTTTATTAATATGGAGTCATTCATGTTATTTCCTATTATACTTGTAATGCCTTTAGGATCTGTAATGATAGCCCCTCTTTGATTTCTCTTTTTTAAAATCTTTGTTGTTGAAAGTATTACAGATGTCCCCATTTTCCCCCAGCTGACCCCCTCCC